GCTATGTCAGCATTCACCAACTTAAACAAAGAGACTATCCGCAAGAGATTCCTATATCGTCTAGAGGTCGAGGCTGATGCCAATGGCGATTTTATTGAATAATTTTACTTTTTAATATTTTAAGATGTTTTTGTATAATTTTGGTAATTATATCTTTTAAAATGCGATGTCAGTGGTATTTTCATTATTGCCTCATTTAGACGACAATTTATCCATCTCAGCTGTATATATGCAGCTGTGGAGAGAATTATTCACCCCCTTCCATAATTGCAAATAAAGTTGGAATACATCAAATTTTTATGGAAACTTCATGTGCATTATTTCACAAATGATAAAATAATTCATTTGAAAGAATGTGCTGTATTTGTGCAATATTTTTATTTTCATTTTAAACAATAATACAAATATCACCAAAAAGCATTTAACATAGGATAAAATAATTGACCCTCTTGTTTCAATAATATTAGGTTGGTGCAAAAATAATGACGTAATAATGTCGTTTTTTGACGTTAAAAAATACGTCAAAAACGACATTATTACGTCATTATTTTTGCACCAACCTAATAATTTGTGCAACATTTATTCTTTATTGTCGTTATTTTTTATAGTTCCTTACAAGATCACTACACACACTGATAGATATTTTGCTCCACTTTTCCTTGGCAATAACTTCTAGTTCCTCCAAATTTGAAGGACTTCTCTTACTTTTTTCTTCAAATATGCCCCTAAATTGCCAATGACGTTTAGGTCAGGACCTTGTGCGGGGTACCTTCATTTTTCTTTTGCGTCTAAATATTTTGTAAGAATTCATACCATGTGTCTCGGATCAGTGTCATGTTGGAATATCCATTTACACTCCAATGACAGCTTTCGTGCAATTTGTTTTATATTATTTTAAGAATAGCCAAATACTTCTCTTTATCTATGATACCTTGGACTCTCACTAGTTCTTCTGGTTTAGAAGCAGCAAAATATCTCCAAGACAGAATGCTCTCAGCACTTTGCTTCATTGTAGGGAGGGTGCGTTTTGGTTTGTGAGTTTCATTCACTTTCCTCCATACATTAGGAGAGTTCATGTGATCAAATAATTCTAGTTTGGTTTCATCTTACAATAAAACAGAGTTCCAATATTGATTCCCATATTCTAGAGGGATTCTAGCATAAGCTAATCTGCATTTTAGGGGTTTAGCCTTAGGCAAGTGAGGTATCCTTGGGCGACAATCTCAAATCATTCTCGATTAAAGCATCTAGTGACTGTCTTCGTCGATACATTGAACACTGATGTCTTTACATCACTGTCAATGTCCTTTGTCATTAAGTGAGGATTATTTGAGTCCTTTGTCATTAAGTGAGGATTCTTCGAGTCCTTTGTCATTAAGGGAGGATTCTTTGAGTCCTTTGTCATTAAGGGAGGATTCTTTGAATCCTTTGTCATTGTGAGGATTCTGCAAGTCCTTTGTCATTAAGTGAGGATTCATCGAGTCCTTTGTCATTAAGTGAGGATTCTTCGAGTCCTTTGTCATTAAGTGACCATTCTTCGAGTTCTTTATCATTAAGTGAGGATTCTTCGAGTCCTTTGTCATTGAGGATTCATCGAGTCCTTTGTCATTAAGTGAGCAATCTTCGAGGTCTTTGTCATTAAATGAGGTTTCTTCGAGTCCTTTGTCATTAAGTGAGGATTCTTCGAGTCCTTTGTCATTAAGCGAGGATTCTTCGAGTTTTTTGTTATTAAGTGAGGATTCTTCGAGTCCTTTGTTATTATGTGAGGATTCTTCGAGTCCTTTGTCATTAAACGAGGATTCTTCGAGTTCTTTTTCATTAAGTTAGGATTCTTCGAGTCCTTTGTCATTAACTGAGGATTCTTTGAGTCGTCTCTAACAAGTTTCCTTTCCATTCTCACAGTAATTAACCGTTTTCTGCCAGTCCTTAATTTATTCTCAACACAATGACTTGCGTTGTACTTGTTGGTAATTCTCTGAATTTTCCACCTAGGAATATTTAAACGTTTGGAAAGTGTTCTATATCCATCATCTTGTTTGTACGCTTCAACAATTCTCATTCGGAGATTGTCAAGTTCAGCCATCTTCGCCATGATTGCAGAACGAAAGTGTTATTGCGTTACGTGGCACTTACATATTGTCTTCTTTAGTACCTTTTAGAATTTTATAGAATCAGGTCAATACTTTTTCATTTTCAAAGCGTGTTTGTATTAAATGTCAAATTAAGAAAAAAAAAACAAAATATTACAGTTGCCATGGAGCAATATTATTTCATAATTTCTATAAATTTTGGACGTAACCAATTTGTCGAAAAATCTGTAACTATGAATATAAAAAATCAAAACTTTCACGAATTATTCAAAACTAAATCCGGAATTAACTATTTATTTCCTTAGAAAATATGCAATATATTAAGTGGGGGCGAATAATTGTGTTTACAACTATATATATATATATATATAAGCAAGTGTAAATGGTTAAAATCCGACAGAATGTAGAAATTTTGAAAAACAAACAAAAAATCCAAAATGTAGTTAAAATGAAAAGAATTGTCGACGTCAGACGTTTCGGTTTTAATAAACCATTTTCAAGACAAAAATTCATTAAAATACAAATTCAGTTCAATATGACGAAAACGATGGACATAAAACACAAGTCTTATCCAAGAGTAAAACAGATAACTGAAAATTTTAAAAAGATCAGCTTTCCGTTTAACGTGGTCACGCCGTAGTCACATGGGCGACGCTCCCATAACGTATTCCTAAAAAGTTCATGATTATTTTAAAATTCCTGTATTTCCGGATAAGCCTGCAATCTTCCATGTTGTAAAAAACGAATTTAGGTTTGTGTTTTCAATAGACAGTATATAAGCAAGTGTAAATGGATAAAATCCGACAGAATTGAACTCAGTCATATTGAACTGAATTTGTATTTTAATGAATTTTGTCTTGAAAATGGTTTATTAAAACCGAAACGTCTAACGTCGACAATTCTTTCATTTTAACTACATTTATGGATTTTTGTTTGTTTTTCAAAATATATATATATATATATATATATATATATATATATATATATATATATATATATATATATATATATATATCAAATATATATATTTATAGTTGTATAGAATATATATATGTATATAGATAGATAGAGAGAGAATGAAAGATGAAGTTAATTTTACTTTTCTAAATTATCACAATTTTCTGTATGTGAATGTACTTAGACATATATATAGATGTAATTATTGAATTAACAACAACATAGAACAGAGGCATATATATATATATATATATATATATATATATATATGTGTGTGTGTGTGTGTGTGTGTGTGTGTGTGTGTACATATTCATATATGCTATATAGGTAATTATATACTTATGAATATATTTAGGGATATGAAGGAAAGTGTTATGTATGATATCTCCCCGCTCTTTCTATCTTCATATATATATATATATATATACATATAGTATGTCTTTGTGTGTGTGTGTGTGTGTGTGTGTGTGTGTGTGTGTGTGTGTGTGTGTGTGTGTGTGTGTGTGTGTGTGTGTCTGTGTGTGAGATTAGATGTTTTCGTTTTTACTTCCTGCAGGGCTCTGCTTCTGAATGTAAAATTCTGTAGATGCATCAAGTTGCAATTACCTCTTTTTTGTTTCGTTTTAGGGTATTTTTTTGTTTTTGTTTTTTTTTGTTTCATTTTCTGCCTAAATGTAATTCTTTTGTAGAGAACAGTTTAGGAATCTTATTATTGTAACGGTTTTTCTTCTTTTTTTTCTTTTTTTTTCTTTTTTCTCATTTTCCTTTATTCTTCTATTCATCTGCTTCATCTTCTTCATCAATTAATGAAGGAGGTTTTGTTTCATTTTTTGTTTTTTTGGTTTTGTTTTTGAAATAATCTTTTTGCCCTGTTCTCAATGCAAATAACAAGCCAACGGCACAGGTAGATGCGACTAAGACAGATTCGTTCTTGCTGACACGTGGCCAGAATTGCAATTTCAATTTTTTTTATTCGATCATCTACAGGCGAATGAAGACAAAGAGTTGATAACGTTGTCAGTTTCGAGGCCGACAAGGTCAATATGACACAATCGTGTCGCTTTTCGCGCTCTTTTGCTTTTCTCTCTCATTAGCCTTTCATTCTCACTTTATCTCTCTCTCTCATTGTCCCTCTTTCTTTCTTTCTTACTGTCTTTCTTTCTCACTCCCCTTCTTTCTTTCTTTCTTTCTTTCTTTCTTTCTTTCTTTCTGTTTTTTTTTTCTTCTGTAACCCCTCTTTATTTATTTCTGACTCCTCATTTTTCTTTCTTTCTTTCTTCCCCATTCCTTTCTTTCTTTCTTTCTTTCTTTCTTTCTTTCTTTCTTTCTTTCTTAATCTCCTCTTTATTTCTCACCCCTCTTTATTTAATTCTTATTTCCAATTTTTCTTTCTTTCTTTTTTCTTTCTTTATTTCTCACCCCTCTTTATTTAATTCTTATTTCCAATTTTTCTTTCTTTCTTTCTTTCTTTCTTTCTTTCTTTCTTTCTTTCTTTCTTTCTTTTTCTTTCTTTCTTTCTCACTCCAACTCTTTATTTCTCACTCCCACTCTATCACTGTTTCTCAGCCGTCTTTGTTCATTTTTAGTCCCACTCTTTTTCTTTCTTTTTTTCGTTCTTTCTTTCTTTCCTTTCTACTGCTCCGAAAAGCCGTATTCTTCATACAACCCCCCACACACATTGTTTCCCTTTTTCTAACCACTTATTTTTTTTATCTTTCTTCATTGCTCTTTTTCCCACTCACATCTTTTCGCACTTTCGTTCTTTTTCTATCATCTTTCTCCTATCGTCTCCCTTCTATCTTTTACTCTCTCTCTCTTTGTCTCTTTTCTATCGTCCTTGTTATATCGCCTCTCTTTATTCGTCCCCCTTCTATCGTCTCTTTTCTATCATCCCCCTTCTATCGTCCCTCTTCTATATTCTATCTTCTCACTTCTATCGTCTCTCTTCTATAATCCCTCTTCTCTCATCCTCCCACCGTCTCTCTTTTATCGCCGCCCTTCTCTCTCCTTCTATCGTCTTTCGTCCCTCTTCTTTACTTTCTCTTCTATTGTCTCTGTTCTATCATCCTTCTTCTATCGTCCCATTTCTATCGTCTATTTTCTATCGTCCTCTTTCAATCGGCTCTCATCTATTGTCCTCTATTCTATCATCCCTCTTCTATCGTCAATCGTCCCTCTTCTTCAATGATAATATATATATATATATATATATATATATATATATATATATATATATATATATATATATTAGGAGTTCGAATTCCAGTCAAATCCATTACATTCACTTACGTGCTAATACCCTTGGGAAAGGTATGAATCCTCTTCCTCTCCCTCCAGCTATGGGTAAAATAGCAGGACAGACTGGGTTCTATAACCTTGGATGGCAACTGGTCTAGGAGAAGGACAACTCTGAATTCAAAACCTGAGGGGGGTCGTTTGGGGACCTTGTGACACGCAGTGCACCAGGTCTTTGTATTCGGCCCTTCAAAAAGTGTGGATGGTCCTGCACGAGGCCTTCACCACTATAATCAAATCTCATGCGCCGGTGTCGGGCTGTCGGTTTCCTGGAAACTGATCTGCTTGACCCTCATACGTCGAATGTCGACGGAGAGTCGATTATATATATATATATATATATATATATATATATATATATATATATATATATATATATATTATCCTCTCGAGCTATTGATCATTTATTTGTTGTACTACTTTCAAAGATTGATTGAAAACTTCTGATTTTCACTTCCTAATCATTAGCGATAAACACGCTTCTGTGAGCGTTGGCTTCATAAGGTTTGTGGGTTAGAGGCATGAAGCGGTCTATGGATATGTGGACGGCCAGATAAACACCGCTAAGTTTATTACAAGCCACAAAAATCCTATTCGGATAAACCCGCTTATCTATTAACTCTTCTCTGCAAATCTATGTCTAGAGACACATAGATAGATAGATAGATACATAGATAGATAGATAGATAGATAGATAGATAGATAGATAGATAGATAGATAGATAGATAGATAGATATGAAACGACTTAGATACATAGAGAGATTGAAACGATTTAGATAGATAGTGAACAGATTGAAATAGATATGAATAGATTAAGATAAATAGATCTAAAAATAGATAGATAGATAGATAGATAGATAGATAGATAGATAGATGAACAGACTGTCATAGATAGATAGATAGATAGATAATGAAACGATTTAGATAGAAAGATAGATATGAAACGAGATAGATAGATAGATAGATAGATAGATAGATAGATAGATAGATAGATAGATAGATAGATAATGAAACGATTTAGATAGATAGATAGATAGATAGATAGATAGATAGATAGATAGATAAATAGATAGATAGATGAACAGACTGTCATAGATAGATAGATAGATAGATAGATAGATAATGAAACGATTTAGATAGAAAGATACATAGAAAGATAGATATGAAACGAGATAGATAGATAGATAGATAGATAGATAGATAGATAGATAGATATGAACAGTGGGATAGATAGATAGATAGATAGATAGATAGATAGATAGATAGATAGATAGATAATGAACAGTGAAATAGATAGATAGATAGATAGATAGATATAGAATAGATATTTAACACAATATTTAGCGTAATGAGACATATATAGATCACTCATTGACCTTGCAAATGATCTAAGAAATGACATCCAATCCGTTGTTAACTCGAGAAATAAACCTGAAAAAAGCGTTCAATTAGAATGGAGCAAAAACAGCATCATGTTTAAATGTATCAGAGTCTATCTTCTTCAATTACATTAAAGTACTTTCCTTAAAAAAAAGAAATTGAATTAATGCACTTGCTGATATAACAGAAGTAGTTTGCATTTATTCAATCAAAGTTAGCCGAGGACATGAAGGGGTAAAACAGGCAACATGAAAACCCACTTCAGATCATAATTATATTGGAGTTTTTGAAATTCAATTTGTCAGTGTACCACCCGGGATGTAAAAGAGGATACATTTATAAAGCAATTGTTAAGTTTGATGAAAATTGATTGAAAGATCAACGAAATATAAGAATGAAACCAGTAAAAATCGACATTTTTCGCTATTTACGCGGGTTTTACTATAATGGGTGGACTCAATTATCAAGTTAAATGACTGTTAAACAATCAACTTATTGTTGGCTACAATTAAGTGAAAGTTGTATTAGATTGCTTGAAAATTTGTGTTGAAATCTATTTTTTGTTTTTCGCGGTTTTTCGCTAAACGCACTGGCGTAGAAATAAAAATGCGGTATTGTTGAGCTCGTCATTATGTAAGTAACCTAGATACCGAGTTTAAACTAACATTAGGTTTTATGTAAAAATCGATATGGGCACCAGATTTCGCTACTAGCTTCTCGAGTCGCAAAGAAGATATATCTTCTTGTATTCGCTCTTCAAGATCTTCCAAAGGCTTGGTGTGTTATAGTGGACTCCCTCCTTTGACCAACCACAAAGAAAAAGTCAAGTGGTGTAAAGTCAGGTCTCTTGGCTGGCCACTCATTCATAAAACAGAGAGTTATTTTTCAATCATCCTGTATATTAGTTATCTATAGTTGACTGATTTGGTTTGGTTTGTTTTACGGCATATCAACACCTCAGTGGGTTATTTAATGCCGACAAGATTCTTATTGCGGGTAATATTCTTTGAGAAAAATGTATTGCTGGTAATAATTTTCATTCAAAAATGTATTGCTGGTAATATTTTTTCCTCGAAAATGCATCGCTGGTAATAATTTTTTTTCCAAAAATATATTGCTGGAATTAAATGCTACATTTACACATTCATAACACTTTGACCCCAGTTTGGGGTTAACTATTTGCCCATAGCTCGGACCCTAACATGCTACCACACCGGGTCAGGGTGAACCTCGAAAAACCAGTAATTAAGTGGTGGTTCCACATCTCCTCAAAACCATAATATCTCCAGAAGATTTAGCGCAAAAAAGGTGAGGCTTTCACGCCAAAGAAAACGGTGGCAACATTAAGACATGGAGGCGTTTAGATGATGTTTTGGGGTTGTTTTAGTTCAAGAGGGACTGGACAATTAATTGCAATAAGAGGAATAATGAAATCTGCAGACTATATCAAAATTCCGAATGAAAATCTACAACAATCAGCGCAAAATGTTTATCTATGTCGGCGATTTATTTTCCAGCAAAATAATTATCCCAAACATATGTCTGAATCAGTAACTGTGTTGCATCAGAAAAAGAAGATTACAGTTCTATCATGGCCTTCAATGAGTCTGACTTAAATCCTATTGAAAATCTATGGCAAAAAGTGAAAGTTTGAATAAATCTCATCAAAAACTTTTAAAGAACCATTGAAGAATGGAAGAAAATCCCAGAAAAACTCATCAAAAATTTTAAAGAACGATTGCAGCAAGTTGTAAAGATGAGTGGTCATGCTATATATATATATATATATATATATATATATATATATATATATATATATATATATGAAAATTTCTCAGAATTAACCTGTAGAAAAAATAATATTTATAAATATAAATTACAATAGGAAAACTGTAATAGTTGTTGCCGACGCTTTTCGTCCAATGTGTACTTTCTGAAGGCAAAAAACGAAACGAATTTATTTAAACAAAGTAACTAATAATAACAAAAACAAAATGTCCTTAGTAACTGGAAGAATTTACATAACGCTATTTTCATACTGTTAACTGAAAATAATTTTAAGTACTGTCACATATGGAGATATTGTTATTATTGCTCTGTTGACGGATTTAACCATTTTCTTTTGATTTCACGATATTGTTATGTACGTTTGTTTGGGAGAGTAGCAATTCTGTTAGGGAAAAATCCTGGGCGTAGATTAATATTTGGGTAATATTCAATGACGGCACTCTCTAGGATTTTCCTTCTGAGTGAATTATTTTCTTTTTTTTATGAGTGTAGCATTTTTTAAATCAAAATTGTGTTTGAATTTCTTTCTATGTGTGACTAGTGCATTAGCTAAGTTGCTTTTTGTGAGGTCTCTTTTGTGTTCATAAATGCGTTTTTTTTTTTATTTCTTCTTGTTTCTCCAATATATTGGAAGGAATAATACATACAGATACGTAATACTACCGACCAACTCTGTCACGTTGACTATCCAGAATAACCTATCCCATCTAAATAATCTTAAAATAGTCACAAACACTTCCAAAACCATTATGGATATACTCAGATCATCAAACACTAATAACAGGCATTTATAAAATAAGTTGCCAGCTTTACCACCACCGTTATGTTGTTTACCTTTGACGTATCTGTAAATACTTTCATGGTTATTGTTCGGACGAGGTCTTCGCTATGGTGCCTAGACTCTTTGCTAAACTGGCAAGGAGGTCTCACCAATTTACAGCTGCGCTGACTAGATACAACCGTAAGTTCTATGCTGACAGTTTCTTCTCTCGCATTTTCTCGCTTGTGGAACTCAACCAACTTTAATCTGAAAAAAAAATTAAATGAATTGTCAATCCCTATCTACTGCCCTCCTGATTACTCTTCTTTTGTTCCCGTTCCTTAGTAAGTTTTTAACTCTTCCACACCCACTAACGCATTCTGTCTCAGTGGCTTTACTGCCTTGCATGGGGTGAAATTAATTAAAAAAATTACCATTAATCTGACGAGGCTCAATAAGACATTAGCAACAATAATAATAAAATTGATCATAAGAAGGACTACATACTATATTGTCTTTCTTTATTAAGTCGAGAATGGTACTCAGACATCTGGCCGGTGGACATCTGGCCAACAGACATTTTGCAGACATTTAACCGAATGGACATTTAGCCGAAAATACAGTGGCGTATTTACATGTATGTCACATTTTTTATCGTAATCTGCGACATATATTTATATTTATTTACTGTATTAATTTATAATTCTTCTTTTTCTTTTTGCAGGATTT